CTTCATATTTGAACACCAAGAAAGGACGTCACATTGAAACCAACTGGACTTCACATTTTGTCAAAAAAACACGCTTCCATTTGGTTGAGAATCTCTCACTGGCTACCATCAAGCATGATTGTCCTATCTGGACTCCAATAATGGATGTTACATTTGCTCTTGTGCATGATCTATTGTCCTTTCCTAAAAGGAAATAAACATACATTACTCTGCCAAATACTAATTAATTCTTCTGGTGTATATTCAAAGAACACACACAAATCAATCTTTATCAAAAGAAATAAGTAAATACCAAGTCTTTGACAACACTGCTAAAAATAATTTTTCTGACTTCTGCAAATGTCAAGCTTCCTGCAGCTTACATTCCCCACTGTCCTTCGTATATGTCATGTGCGCCACATTGATCTTTATTGATTGACTCTTTCCGAAAAATTAAATACCAAGTCACGATGACAGTTATGCCGTAAGCATGTATTTCGCTTGGGTGTCACCAGGTAAATCACTGATCACAGAGACGCGTCATGGACATGGATACTTAATGTCACAACTAATTAGCTGCCTCAAAAAGCTGATGAATATCAGATTTGTGTAACGCTTCAGTTCAGATATCTGTAAAACCAACTGAACAAAAAATAACTCATTCTCCATGATTCGAATTATTGCATTTGATATATCGTTTCAGGTGGTTTTCTCAGCCTAGCCTCCTGACAATCACACAGAAACACTTGGTCAATATTAGTATTATTCAAAGATCTACAATAATGATCTTATTCCAAACACTGTTCGAAATGACTGAAAGGTAAAAAAGAAATCCAAAGAACAAAATGTCAATTAGGAAATGAAACTATAATTTGAACATCCAACATTTGGAAAGAATGTTAGGCTGGGAGATTTTCTAATTTGCATCACATTAAGAAAATTCGCAAATGGAGCAATATATTAAATGGCACAAATCAACCAAAAGCCAGGTGGCCAGTGTTTGTGACGACAGCTCTATGCACAATGCATTAGATGACTGATGAGAGAATGGAATATCAGCATCACAATCAACTTGAAATCTGTGAAAAGTCTCCACAATAGGCCCTTGACATCAAGCGCAGAAAGTGTCTGGCACTCTTCAGGCTGAGAGACAGAAATAGACTTTGCGGGGATAGACGGGGAGCTCCCAACATCAACAACAATCTGATGCATTGACATTTTCGTTACATCAGAACTACTTTGACCTTATTGGGATGATGGATAATAATGTAGTCCTTCAGACAATAAAAGCCCAGGTCATTTACTGATAAAAGTCTCAAGCTCCTGAGTGAGTGAGTTGGGTTTAACGCCACTTTTAACAGTATTCCAGTTATATCACGGCGTGTCAGCTTGATGTAGGAGGAAATCCCGAAGTGATGCAGGTCTGAGATGTTTACCACTTCGGTGAAACCCACGAGCACGGGTATGGTGCTGAAAAACCTAGAAACATAATCGGGGCGAACCGGGATTCAAACCCACAATCATTCAGGCCTGAGGGAAGCAACTCTGCACAGCGAATCGTGGCACCAATGAAGACTGGACCACCTGTGCCCCCCTCAAGCTCTTGATGCTGGTACATTGGAATAACCATAAGTGAATATTGTTTTAGGCCACAGTCAGCAATATTCCAGCTTGTCCATAAGCAACTCCCGGGCCACACACACCTGTGATTGAAAGCATGAGGTGAGTTGAAATGGAGTTTAACGTCGCGTCCAAGATTATTGCACTTATATAGCGACATGCATGCACTTGTGTGTGTGGCTGCTTGTACTAGTCCGGACTGATGCCGATTTATAGTGCTTGCCCACTGAGATACCATGCCGCAGTTAACATGAATACCCCACTCAGACACAGTATACTGACTCCAAGCTGACCAGTCCTTGTTTTAACCACTTAATGCCAAGAGCCAGACAGGGTAACAACAAGTACCATCTTTTAACGTCTTTTGGTATGATGCGGCCGGGGATCGAAACCCCGGACCTTCCGCTCTCCGGGCGGACGCTCTACCATTAGACCACGGTGACTAGCTATCAGCCAAGTCTGACCACCTGATGCTCTTTGTTCGGATCTAATGACAAGGATAGTGTACTGGGTATCTATTCTGAAGCACATTTAACACATGTGCTGTCTCTTTGGGCAAGTGACTTTGTTCCAAATGTGCCTCTGGTCACCCAGCAGTGAATGGGTACCTGGTAGGATGAACTGTTAACCTAGCGCATAACAGTCAGCTTGTTTTATATACTCCACAGGTTGATCAGAATGATTGTTGAGTGCACACTGACCCAGTGACTGGGGTAATAGTGGCGTTTTGAGCATGCCCCCGTGTGGTGGGGAAATATGTGCCATAAAAATGGCCTATTACTAGTCTTCTTTTCAGAATCCCATTGAGGTGACCGAACATGACAAGAAATCTTTTGACATGTCAGTGAAATCCAAGAGTTCAGACTTCACATGGACAAGTGATTAAAGAGGAAAGAGGGAGGTTAATGTGGGAGGAAAGCCCAAAGTAATGCAGGTCTTAGACATTTGCACCACTGATAAATCATATATGGTATTATAAGGATAGCTCTAGTTAAAGCTAGCAGATAAAATTTTGGGCACAGTCTGTATACCAGGAGCAGACCTTGCTGTTAACAATATTGTAAGGGTTTGTTTGTTGTTTTGTTTATTTGTTATTCATTTGCCGCACTCAGCAATATTCCAGCTATATGACGGCAGTCTGTAAATAATCAAGTCAGGACCAGACAATCCAGTGATTGACATCATGAGCATCGATCCACGTAATTGGGATACGATGACATGCATCAACCAAGTCAGCACATCTGACCACCCGATCCTGTAAGTCGCCTCTTACGTCCAGCATAGTTGCCTCTTACGGCAAGCATGGAGACAAGAATGGTGCTAGCTTTCAATGTCATCTAATTCCATGAAAAACACAAATCTGCATCCTGAACTAAAATCTGTCAAATCTTTATGTCTTCCAAAAAGATCAGAATCCAAATAAAATTCAATGTGTGTGTTGTGATTGATGTTTGAAGTCACTTTGAGAAAAATTGTCACAAAGGGAAACAGGGATTGGCCGTCACAAAATGTATTAAGAGAAAGTCCTACTATAACAAGGTCACCTAGTGCATGAATCATTGTGGCACAGGTCCTGTTGGATCATTCAGTGTTCTCGTTTACTGGTAATTACAAGTTTTTTACCTATAGAATTAGGCTTGTAATTCATGTGGCTGCCGGCCCTGTGTACCGGCAGTAAAGTACCTCATAAATCTTTGTTGTTGAACAATAGATCGGAGATATTCAAATAAGCATATTTTATGAACAAAGATTGTTCAGCTTGTCTGTTATATCTGGGTTTCCCCTTGTCTATTTTCAGTGCAAGGAAAAAGCTTTTCACTTTGCTTCGAGGTTAAATATATATTTGCAGTGACTTAGTCTTGAAATACCAAAACAATAAGGATAAAATTGTGACTGAGCTCAGTGTGATCATGTAGATCTTACTTCGTTATTTCAGAGATGACAACATTGCAGTGAACATGATGTTTGAGGAATTAAAACCAGGTACTTTTTACTGTTTTTTATATTTGTGGAAAGTTGGGACTGACAAAAATTAGGGGAGACTAAGAGTGGCAGTTTCAAAAGCCAGCGGGAACTGACATTTACTTCTATTACTGTCACCTGCCATGAACAAACAAATTTTTATTCTGCCAAATGTAAACATTTTGAAATCCAAACAAAGTCAAAGTCAAGTAAAACAATGACTTCCTTAAAAACTGGTGGTTGAATCAGATTGCAAGCTGGTGATGAATGAAGTAAAATTCATAGCAAAAACTGATATTCTTAACAAATAAACCCACCAATTATCCGACTGAACCATAAAAACTACATGACCCCAATTTCATCACCTAACTTTCCCAAAAAGATATTTTTTGGACTCCTTTTCCAAAGAGTTACTGCAGGGAAGACTGAACTACCCCGATAATTAGAAACAACCCATGATGTGTTTATTGTTGCATTGTTAGTATAAAATTACCTGGCTCAAACTGCATCAGGCTGACATGGAAGTTTGGAGTTATCTCCCTGTGATAGAACTCTTTATGAAAAAGGTGTGAAAAGTAGCACATGTCACCCGACTGTGGAGTAATTGATGATAAAGGAGATGCAGCCAGATCAAGTTCAAAGGATCTTCCAAGAAACTTATTTCCCGGACTAAAGGAATAATTGGTCAATGTCATGCAGCTGATTGACAAAAAGGAACAAAGGTGGCACTGCAGTGTCAATTGAATTCCAGGACTGAAATTTCTATTTTACTGTCTGTGGTTTATCCCATTAACGATTCAGCTCCATATTTTCTACTGTCAAGGCAACAGCAGTTTTCATTAAACCTTTTTGTTTGGAGAGTTCCAATTATACTTACACAGGTGCCTGGGTAGAAGTATTTTATTTAAACACTACACAAAAGAAGTCACAACAGATTAACCATATTCATATGAAAAAAAATCAGGTATTCTTTAACTTCTTTTGAGTAGAATATAGTGATTTAATATTGTATCATTTTGGATCATGCTTGAATTTGAGGTTTCAAATCACAATAACATGTCTCTCATTTGAAACTTTAAGTTGTGTACTTGGTTCGAAATTAAAATAGCTTTAAATTAGAAGCAGTGTGTTTGTCTCTAATATCTCTAATGTTAGGACAAATTCTGTATTCCATAGAATACGTCAAATAACACAATATGGTATGGTATAATCAAACATCTTTGCACAGACAATCATAGAAACGACAGTTCATGGGAATGACGGTCCAGAAAAGAAACTAAATAAATAGAGTGCAAGCCAAGGGAGACTTGTCATAACCCCAACGTTAAAGATAAATTATGGGTCTCCTAAATATTCCAGCACAAAGCCCAATGACTTCAGGACCCCCCTTAATTTCGAACACTGGTTACAATCGTGATGATAACGAAACGTATACTTACTTTTTCATCTAAGGCTTTATGATGTTCGAACAGAGACTTGAGAGCCTTGAGCACCTCGACCTCGCTGGAGACTCCTGCGGGAGATGACGCTTGCCGCTTGACCACAGTCATCCTGAGTGACCGCTCGTGACGAGAGACAAGGCACTCAAGGTGCTCCAATAGAAGCTGAAACAAAAGTTGAAATATGTATGTATGTACATGCTGAATATGACAACTGATGGGAAGTTGAAACTGATCCACAGTTCTGTAGCTCACCTGGGAATAAATGCGGTTCCAACCATGACTTTTTTAGTAACTACAAATGAATCAATGAGTACCAAGTTGTGACATATTCGGGGGCTAGTACTGATTTGTGACATTTTCAGGGGCTAGTATTGAGTTGTGACATTTTCAGGGGCTAGTATTGAGTTGTGACATTTTCAGGGGCTAGTATTGAGTTGTGACATTTTCAGGGGCTAGTACTGAGTTGTGACATATTCAGGGGCTAGTATTGAGTTGTGACATATTCAGGGGCTAGTATTGAGTTGTGACATATTCAGAGGTAAGTATTGAGTTGTGACATATTCAGGGGCTAGTACTAAGTTGCGACATTTTCAGGGGCTAGTTCTGAGTTGTGACATATTCAGGGGTAGGTAATGAGTTGTGAGGTGGGTGGTGAGGTGGAATTGGGTTTAACGTCGCGTCCAAGATTATTGCACTTATATAGCGACGTGCATGCACGTGTATGTGTATGTGTGTGTGTGGCTGCTTGTACTAGTCCGGACTGATGCCGATTTATAGTGCTAGCTCACTGAGATACCATGCCGCAGTTTAACATGAATACCCCACTCAGACACAGTATACTGACTCCGAGCCGACCAGTCCTTGTTTTAGCCCCTTAATGCCGAGCGCCAGACAGGGTAACAACAAGTACAATCTTTTAACGTCTTTTTGTATGACGCGGCCCGGGATCGAACCCTGGACCTTCCGCTCTCCGGGCGGACGCTCTACCACAAGACCACGGAGGCGGTCGGTAATGAGTTGTGACATATTTAGGGGCTAGTATTGAGTTGTGACATATTCAGGGGCTAGTATTGAGTTGTGACATATTCAGGGGCTAGTACTGAGTTGTGACATATTCAGGGGCTAGTATTGAGTTGTGACATATTCAGGGGCTAGTATTGAGTTGTGACATATTCAGGGGCTAGTACTGAGTTGTGACATATTCAGGGGCTAGTACTGAGTTGGAGCTGATTCAGGAGCTGAATTGGTTGACTGTCATTCCGCGTTAGAAATTGGCACTAGTCCTGTAGTCCTTACCAAACTGCCCAATAGTAAAGGTATCCTAAGGACTAGTAGAAATTGGCCCATTTTAAGGGTTTTGCTATATGTTATCATTATAAGGACTAGTTGACAAAAACTGTTAGTTTTTAACCCTGTCATTGTGAACACAAACAATGTGATTAGCTGCTCATGCTATCAACCACTGGTTTGCAATACCGACTCAATCATCAAGCTGCTGTGATACATCTGGAACACTGCTGACTGTGTTCTTAAACCATTTCCACCTAGCCATCCAATTCCGTGACACTATTTGTAGGTACTGAGCAAAATCCATGACATCACACTTCCAGGGCAATAATCCATATCCTGTCCTTCCACCACAGCAGATCCGTCCTCTGTACATCATACATACAAGGCATTTTATTGCCCAGCTGTAAACTGTTGTGCGGAGCTGGCACTTGTTGAGAGGCACCTACACCAGCGTCCCTGCACAGGGTGTTTCATTCATAAATCATGGAAAGTTTTGGCATATGCTGTAGCACAAACCTGCCAAGCCGCACAGATAGAAGAGGCCCCTCATCAATAATATAGAAAACGTAATAATATAAGTTCTCGAGGTCTAATTTCATCATGGATCCTGGGAGAGACCACCTGACTTGGCTTCCGCCCAAATATGTCGTTCTTGGACTACCGTATCACCTTGACAGGACATTTTGGCACCAGTGGTGGAGTGTTCATTATTAGCTTTGGTGGAGAAATCAGCTCTGTTCTCTTATCTAACTTGATGAAAATGCAATTATTTTCATGTTGCAGTGGTTAATGTTTATTGAACATATCTGTGACCCATTTACAACAATGTTGTAAAGAAATACAAAAATAATGGCCGAGACCGAATAAAATTACAAATCAAGGCAATTTTCCTAGTCGGAGGGGTAGTAGGGTTGTCGTGGTTGAAGTGTTTCACTCTTTAAACCTAAGACCCAGGTTCGAGTTCCCCCATGGTTTTAATGTGCGAGGCCCACTCTTTGTGTCCCGATCAATGATATTGCTGAAGGTGAAATAATGATAAAAACGTCATAAATCCCTACTAACTCACTCAATCAAGTCAAGGGATAGTGGTTCAGTATGATTACAGCTGGATAATGGAGATTGTTTGATGCTGCAGTCAGTAATATTCCATCAGTATCATGGGAATATTCCATCAGTATCAGGGGAATATCCAAGCAATATCACAGGAATGTCCCTACAATATCACAGAAATATCCCAGCAACATCACAGGAATATCACAGGAATATCCCAGCAATATCACGGGAATATCCCAGCAACATCATTGGAATATCCCAGCAATATCATGGGAATATTCCAGCAATATCACGGGAATATCCCTGCAATATCATGGTAATATCCCAGCAATATCACGGGAATATCCCAGCAATATCATGGAATATCCCTGCAATATCACAGGAATATCCCAGCAATATCACGGGAATATCCCAGCAATATCATGGAATATCCCAGCAATATCACGGGAATATCCCAGCAATATGATGGGAATATCCCAGGAATACCATGGGAATATTCCAGCAATATCACTGGAATATCCCTACAATATCCCAGGAATATCCCAGCAATATCACGGGAATATCCCAGCAATATCACGGGAATACCCCAGCAATATCATTGGAATATTCAAGCAATATCACAGGAATATTCAAGCAATATCACAGGAATATTCAAGCAATCCCACAAAATCCCTTTTATTTTTTAGTAGTTAGATTACAAATATTTTGGCTGAAAATTCAATGGAGGTGGTTGAAAAAAGACAATAGTATTTATTATACATCCCTATTAATACTGCTAGTAATGAATAAAAAACAAATTTGTAGGCAACACATTCCTAAAAGTACAACTGTGAAACGATACCAAAACATAATTGTTTGATGGGAGTAGAATAAAGATTTGTACATGTATTTCTATCAAAAGTAGTTTGTCAACTACTCATATTGTCAAAAGACATATTTATTTTTTGGGGATAATTTCTGGTTTGTTTTTAAACCAACGGTAACTATAAGGCCTTAACAATCTCCTTTCATCTTCTGACACCAGATGTACTTTGCACATATACTTCCACAGAACTTTCTTAAATCATCTCAAGTCTTTTGGAACTTCCTTTCAACATGAGAAATGTCAAACTCTATAATGCATTAAAACACAATTAGACTCATATTGAAAGAGTCCTTATGATATGACAAGCAATTATAATCTCTTAAGTTGGAAACATAGCAGGGCTATTGATATTCCTTGAACAAACTTAGGAAGACTGATATCCAAGACGTTAGTTTTGACATTTGTAAGTGGAACAGTTCAACTACAAGTGTCTACAACTCCGACTCACTGTCTTGCTTGACGTGATGTTCAATAGTGACTGAAAATACCACAGGGGTAATGCATTAATTATTTGATTTATATCACCACCCGTCTCAGTACCAAACACCCTGCGTCCCCAAGTCCCTTTACAGAAGTAGAAAGCCGCTGTGTTACTTCTTTCTCCACTGGATGACGTGCACCATATACCTAGTCCTATTAAACATTCATGCTTCTCGTCCGCCAGCATGTAATGTACAAACATGCCTTGAACACAAATTAAAACAAAAGGCCCATAGGGCCTGTATCGCTCACTTGGATATTTACGCAATCATGACAAAATATACATTTGCATTGTACATGTATATAATACTGCAAATATTTCGTAATTTTGACTCTGTCAGCATTTAAAAGGGGTGGATGGCAAATCTGACAGCATGAACGTGTATTTCTCATATATGGTTGATGTCTATCTCTTAGCTCCAGAGAAGAAGTCTTTTAAAGCAATTACGCCAAATTACCCCTATTCCGCCCCAACTCTCAGCCCCACCATTTGTACAATTTTGAATCCTCACCAACGGAGAATGCTTCAAACCAAATATGGTTGATATCTATCTCTTAGTTCCAGAAAAGAAGTTGTTTAAAGCAATATTGCCAAACTACCCCTATTTCACAACACCCATCAGTCCCCTGGGGGGTCAGCGCAACCATTTGTACAATTTTGAATCCCCGCCACCTGGGGATGCTTCCAGGCAAATTTCGTTAATTTCCAATTAGTGGTTCAGAAGAAGAAGTTGTTGGAAAAAATTGTGGACATACGAACAACAGACGCCACAGTATGGCATAATCTCACCTTGGTTTTTCAGACCCGGTGGGCTAAAAACTATATATACTAAGTCAAAAGAAGAAAAAGAACTCACGATTCTTAATATTACAATAGTTAATCTGTCATGCCAGTTAAAAAACTAAATGTCTGGTGCATCAATATTCTTGAAATATTGGATTCAAAAATACAAAATAATTTATCGTGATGCTGGTTATCTTGTTGTTAATGTTATGAATGTATTTCAAAAGAGTGTTTAAGCCACTGTCAGCAATACTCCAGCCACACCAAAGAAGACCTGGATCACAGAATTTGGGTAAGGCAAACCAGTGGTGATGTGATGTGATGTGATGTGATGTGATGTGATGTGAAATAGGGTTACATTGCGTCCAGGATTATTGCACTTATGTGATGTGCATGTGCATGCACGTGTGTGTGTGTGTGTGTGTGTGTGTGTGTGTGTGTGTGTGTGTGTGTGTGTGTGTGTGTGTGTGTGTGTGTGTGTGTGTGTGTGTGTGTGTGTGTGTGTGTGTGTGAGAGTGAGTGAGTGAGATAGTGAGTTGCTGCTTGTACTTGTCCGGACCAATGCCAATTTTACAGTGCTAGCCCACTGAGACACCATGTCACAGTTTAACATGAATACCCCACTCAGACACAGTATACTGACTCCGAGCCGACCAGTCCTTGTTTTAGCCCCTCAATGCTGAGCACCAG